CACCCATCCGGGAGCTAGCAACTGCGGCTGATACGTACGCTCAGTGCGTTTCCACAGATTAAGCGTACGACCACGCCTCGCCAAGCCACAGTGTGTATATATTATACCTACGTGAAGCTTTAGGTTTCTAAAAATCAATTAAAAGCACCTACATACCCACTTACCTACATACCCGTTGTATTGGTATTATGTCAGCTCGTCCGTTAGTTACCATATTAAATAGTTACAATTTTTTTTAAATATTAATATTTTTGTTAATTGTCCGGTGTTACGATTTTTTGTATAAATATATTTAATTATACGATTATTGATATTGAAATAACAATAATATCAATGTATGAGTATTTGATAATATTTTATTAAATTCATACTAGACAATACTAATAAATATAAATACCAATATATTATATTATAGCAAATTCTTTTTTAAATAGTATATCAAATTATAGCATATTGTATTTAACTACGTTTAGAAACCAGAGTGGGCTTTTTTAACTTGTTTTGCTAATAAATACATATTCTGAATAACTATAAATAAGTGCCTACCTATGTATATATATATATATATATATATATATATATTAATACTACTCATAAAATAATATTTAAATATATTATATACGATTTTGGTAACAATATACTTGTATAAATAAACAACTATAGGATATTCACCAATTATAGGTATATTATTACAGACCAGTATAGATCACTATTAAATTAAATCATTAAAGACTTATGGTTTGTGAACATATTTCTATTTTCAATTTATACAGAAAAAAGTCTATTTATGACCTGGTTAAATACATACTTATGTGTAATTATTTATTGAGCGGAAAGGTCTAAATTGATGTAATCGAAGTTTGTTACTTTATCGGGCACTTAAAATAATTAAGCAGACAAGGGTTTACCTCCAATACCACAAAAACGTAGGCTACCAGAAAGTTAGTTATAGTCTCAATTCAATTTTAATGTAATGTAATTTTGGACGTTCAATTAATATAGTTGACAGTATGTCAGTATGTATCTATATTATTATAATATTATTAAAATATACTGACACAGGTTTCAAAAGAGGAAATAATAATTCGTTTCATCACGCATCGTAATTCCACAACTAACCAATACACCTATAATGCATTAATTCAATTATTAGTTACTGTTCGTCTGATGATGGCAAAATTTAATTGTACAGTTTTTGCGAACATGCATTGTCCAAAACTGCAGATACGTCATATTTCATTATGATATTCTCATAATATATGTAAATGAGTAGTGAGTACGTAATATCATATTATGTATAGGTATTATATTATTATAGTCTACACTTTACTCTGCGCATAGTGCATACATATTTTGTAGTACAYAATTTTCTCAGTTTCGGCCAACTATAACATAGCTCTGACGACGATGGTGTCAACTCATTAATATGATAATGTAATTTTAATATAGTAGGTATATGATCCTTTAAAACCCATACATATACGAGTAGATAAACTAACTTAGTATATAGAATATATTATCTTTCATATCCCAAAAACATTGATTGTAGCGTCTAYTTTTCAGCACAATCTCCGTTACGTGTACTCTTGTCGACTTAACGATATGATTATAATATAATAAATTACACCCCAAGATATKATGTATGTAATATTATATCATATACATTTTCAAGATAATTCACTAAAAATTGCTTGTACTTAATAAAATCGAAATACTTACAAATAATATTGTTGAGTTCTACTTTTAACAATTTAAAATAAAATACATACATCTTAAATAATATTTATTGTATGTTAGAGTCGAATATGATGTGAAATTAAACATAGTTATCTATTTTTATATTTTATTCAATAATATATTCAAATATTCAATCTGTATACAAAAAAAGTTATCTACTACATGACAATAGGTGTTTCAGAGTTTAATAATAGAATTGCTCTACTGATGAATCGCTATTTTTTTCATTAATCAAGCTCTTTGTAAATATAATTTTAAAATGTTCCGTAATTTTAAATTATTTTTTATTTTTTACTGCGATGAAAAAGGTTAACGAGGCTGTAATAAATAACATTTTTATTATTAGAAAAAATAGCTCTTCTGAAAAACGCACTTCGTTTTATGTTTGTTGTACCTACTTCAAACAAATTTTTAATATTATACAAACCATTTTTAAAGGATTTTATTATTTGGTTTTATTGGTTTTCAATACAATTTTAATAAGTTACAGCGTTATGATTTTATGCATATTCTTTTTTTAGTTATAGCCTTCGATATACCAACATTCTGAGGTATGACAATATAGAGGTATAATATTTAGATAGGTACTCGAGCGTGAATATAAATTATTCAATATATTCTTAGTACATAATATTATTTTACGAGTGCAATATATTAAGTAACTATGCTATTTATTATAGTTTATGATATGTTACATTTTTAAATACTAATGACAAAATATTTTATTTATTACTAATAAATTGTTTAATTAAAACAATAATAACATTTTGCACCAAGAACCAAAATAGATTGAAATTCCTTTAATAATAATAATAATAATTAAGTTGTTAATTTATTAAAGGTATTGGTATTTTTATATTGGTAAATGGCTATAAACCAGTGTTTCCCAACCGGTGGTCCGTGGGCCAATCATAGGTGGTCCGCGGTACCTTTTTTTGTTTTCTATTAAAAATTATTKTTTTTTTTTTTTAAACAGCAAAAAATATTTTATTTCACCTAAAAATGAAACTAGCACCAAGTAGGGCAAATGTCGCATTATCACAGCAAGTGCTAACTGCATCATTTGAAATCTCCCAACTAATCAGTAAGTCAAAAAAAGCACACAGTATCGGCGAAACATTAATTAAGCCTAGCTTGCTAATAGCTGCAAACATTTTCGGTGAAGATACCAAGAAAAAGATTCAAAATATGCCACTGTCCAATAATACAGTAAAGGCATGAATTGGTAAAATGTCATGCGATATCGAAGAGCAACTACTAGGTAAAATAAAAAGTTCCCCTTACTTCGCTCTTCATTGCGCAATGTTGCCAGTTATTAGTTTTTATGCGGTTTTTAGACATTTAGGATAAGACCATAAAAGAAGAGTTATTGCTGTCAAGTGTACTTGAGACAACGTCGAAAGGGATTGATGTAATGCAAATCATTAGTAATTATTTTGAAAATCATGATCTCATGTAGGAGAAACTAGTTGGCTTTTGTACGGACGGATTAAAATTTTGTGTATTCTTGTTAATGAGCCAAAAAAAAAAAAAGGTCTTCCTAGTTTGCATAAAATTGAGGTGGTCCGCGACCTATAAAATATTGTCGAAGTGGTCCGTGGTGGTAAAAAGGTTGGGAAATACTGCTATAAACTGTAGTACAAACATTAAATACAATTTAAATAATATTAAAACAGACAAAAAATTTTAAACACGAAAAATCATTTCTGTTATATACTCGCGTATTTCGATGTGTAAATKAAATAATATACCTATAATGTTAGAATGCATTTTTCGATGTCAATAAATTGCTCTGTAGTTCGGTTTGAGATTTAAATCCAGATAATTTAGAAATTACTTCGCATTTTCACTATTATTTATCATAAGAAAATTTTACCGCTGACATTTTTAACTAGATCCAGCGTCATACTATAATAACTATTTAAATATTTAACAACGTTCAAAAATAAAAACGAAACGTATATTTAAGTCTGTTGATTTTAATTATACCTAACTGCAATATGTAAACAATACAATGTATAGGTTGATATTAATCATATGACTTAAGGAGATGGGAGAAGGTAATAATTTGACACAATATTCAATGTCAGCACTAYTGTCAATTCACGTTTTGCCATTTTGAAACGGCATTATTTATTATTAGAAACAAAAATATATTGGAGTCAGGTACCTATTGATTTATGTTAGGTAGTTAAAAAATTTGATCCGAAAAACGAATGAGCGGCTGGTTTAATTATAAATTGTTTTCTCTAATTCTAGTATCCATTAATATAGTCAGTTTTTAAAAGATTTCCAATGATTCAAGGAAAAATGATCATTCCGAGCATTATATTATGTAGTGTCGTCCTCGACAACGGAAGTACCACTACATAATATTTATACCTGCGATGATAACATGAGTAAACAAATAAACATTATTGATGTAGACTAGACAGTAGCGACGTCTGTGCCCAAAAAATGTTCAAACCTTCCTCCAAGCGTACYGCCATAATAATTTAGACTATACACTGTATTAGGTGTAATAATATGAACAATATGATATTATTGTGTTACGACGGAGTGTGCGCATTTTGCGTTCAACGCATCATACCGAAATACAATCCATCAATTACGAGCTCGTAAAATAAAAATAATAMTAATAGTAACATCAACAACAATAATAATCATAATACCTAATAATAATAAAATGGGTGATAAAAAAATTCATATAATATTATTATAGGGGCATCGTGTTTTATACTCRTCTATATAATATGTCTAATATACAATGTGCAACACGTACGTACGAAATAAYATAATAGCCGTCTGGCCGGCGTGGCGGCGTTCGTCTCGTACGTTCGTGGGCGGTCGGTCGCGGTGGTGGCGTTCGGTAGTGGCGTGCTTACAGCTGTTGTTGCTGCGGGCCGACGAAACCAGTTTTTCGAGTGGGAGAAACGGATCCGGCGGCAGCCGTACGCAAATACGACTAAACGACGTGTGCCTGCGCGTGTGTAACAAAAACCGTGTGTAAAATCGTCTACCGATCACCGCTGCGTCAGTGCGCGTCCGTCGGCCGTGTACGGTTTGCGAGTCTCACAGCATCCGTCGTCTGTTTGGTGCCGGTGGTGTCGTGCGTTCGCCAGATTTCGTCGCGACGTTTTACGCGTATATCGGCGTGTGCGTTTCTATATTTAATTTTTAATTTTTTTTCTATTTTTTGTATTCACCCAAATGTATTGTAAATACGTGTTTTAGATGTAAAATAATGTGAACTTAACGTTTTTTTTTATACTACTTCCGTTTGAGAATCTGCCGCACCGAACGTCGTCATCGATATCCGGTGTCGCTTCGTGTAACATAAAGGTGCCGTTTCGTGTCCCCAGTCGTCTTCGCGCGGTGCGGCTGTCCGTTCATCTATGTACGGCTAAGGCGCAAATGGCCGCCGAGTGGCCGACCTTAGCCGTCGTTTTTCTGCTCGCGTGCCTACTGCTGCCGATCGGCGGCGACGGTGTCCGACCGCGGGACGACGACGGCCAGCAGCAGCCCTCGTGGTGCCAAAAAGAAGAATGCAAGTGCGAGCAGGACGACGAAAACCGCTTGACCGTCAAGTGCGCATTTTCTGGCGAAAAGGTTAGATTTTTAATCAAATAGCGCGAATACATTAGGAGTATCTAGCTGTGTAGTTTGACTCTAGCGTTTAGCATACGAAATATATTACACTGTATAGGCGTATAACTAGTAGTCAGTATGTGGCGGGTAAGCCGAGGATATATATACATAATCATATTATATTAGTCATTATAGTCCCTTATTTGAGATTATTTCGTTAGGCTTCCAAGACGGTAGATGAATGTTGATAAGTAGTTAGATACATGTCGCACTACAGGAAGCAAGGACATATGGTTCAAGAACTTGGTTGATATTGTGTCCTAATGAACAATAATATACACAGGTACACGGCATGCATTATACACTCTTGAATGACGATGCGAAAACATTTCAATCATTGTGTAACGTACAATGGGGATAACAATTGGTGATATAGAAAATWTTGTGGTTAACCATCTATACCACAACTACTTATATTATCGTAAACAATGATATAATGGAAGGCGGTTGCCTCGGTCAAACATACCCCTGTTGCTATACCATATGGAAGACCGTGGATTTATAGAATCTCACCATGGTATTTGTGGACGTATTATACATATGGAATGTCGTCTTCGAAATCCAGTGAGGTAGACTTGCAGTGCAGTTCGACCGTAGTATATGCATAGCCGAAATAACCGCTGACCATTTTGTTCGCGGTACCTACTACGTGCCGACAACAGCGATATTTTTCGAAGTCCACCGTCCGATTCTCTATCTCACCATTTTCTTTTTCTTTTTAACGTCTGCGTATGCATAGCTACTATATATGCATATATACCAAGTGTTGTGTAATGCGACCGAATCTCGACCGTGAATCGTGATGTACAACATACCCTATTTACGTGACTGTTTGTGATAATGCAGTGGTTTATAATTCCAAACAACTCTTGAATGTCTAGCTGGACAGTTTTTGGAGGATTCTTCGCTAGACGATGCTTCAATAATATGGAAGTACAGATTTTCATTTATATTATTCCAAAGTCCATTTCCCGTTATCGGAATAAACAATCACATATACGACTTTATGTCTGTCATTTAGAAACAAGAATATATTTTATTTATTGAATATTACAATAGGTAGATAAGGATAAGTTTAGTAAAATATTAGAGGAAAACTTGAATAAAAAAATAATAAAACAATCTTGTAACGGTGGTTGTTTGGAGATTTGCATAATATCAGCATAACACTACAAAGAAAATATGTAAGTATCAAGTATTACTGTGCATTAACCGTTACCGGTGGTATAGTTTCTTGGTTCACGCAATTTAAATAAGACTCAGTTGGATGATAGTTATTATCAACCAATTTAGTATTATTTATTATAAATAAAATATGGATATTGTAATCTGKKTAATGACGTGCCTTACAATACAGGTACGACTACAAATCAACGGAGATATCGCTTGAATGTTGCATGACTTAGTCCACTGTATGATAAAGGGGTTCAGTGTCGGCCTGGCCATGGCCGTTAGGCCGCGAACGCATCCGGAGCCCCCGCGCCGGCCGTATTTGTGTCGAGGGGCCCCGATATTACTAAAAATATAATATTTCACTACTTATAAGCATTTTTTATCATTTTTATTTAATAACATGTTTGGGGGCCYTTCTGAAGAAATGCATCCGGGGCCCTTTAAGTACCAGGCCGACACTGAAAGGGTTCCCAATTTTATGATCTAACCTACCTATCTAAATCTTGATATTATATTTGACAATAGGTCTCATCTTTTTAAATTACTTAACTTACTRCATTCTTATGTCTCGTTCCATAACACTTGATTTATACTTTATTTGTATTTTGAGCCTAGCCTGTTATGTTAATAAAATAAACAATGCATGTAAATGTGGATCCGGGCACCTGGATATTTCCAGTCTGACATCTAACGGATGTAAAGCAAGATGATGTTAGATATTGGTCTTGGTTTTTTATTATTATTATTATATATTCTCACACTTTTAGTGGCTGACGGTTTCCAGTAGATAGTTATGGTAGGTGTTCAGGATGATGAACGAGCTCTCGCGATTTCTTCTTTCATTGTAAACTAACACGTGATATATAATATAATATGATTATTATTTTCATGTTAGGGGACAACTGTGATACACAATATGTAAAATATTATTATMTCGACGGTCAACGTGACCACTAAATCGTAGTTTCCTTAACTCCCTTGAACATCCTGTCAAAGCCACAAACGATCGCACGCGTCACTCCGAAATGCATATACTTAAGCGCATTAGACAATACAGACATCTAGCTGTTGTTCACTGTAGTGGGTAGATATACAGTAGGTATACAGTAAACACCGAATAAATTCACACCACACATACAATTTTCGTATTACTCGCGGTATGTCGACATACAGTATTAGTTATATGAGATTTTATGAAGCGTGATTTGCATCGATCGCTCGCACCGAGATATTGTTCACCGGTTAAACGATTTGAATACCGAATCGAATCGGAAGTGATCTAATACYAGTTGTCTGATTACTAGTCTCCCTTATATTATTACTGTACGTGGTACGTCTGCAGTACTACTGTGTTATACTATTATTATTACAGTGCGCGGTGATTAATTCGACACCGGTTTATACTCGGGCCGCAGAGGTCATTCATGCATTTGTGTACATATGTGTTCGCGTGTAGATTTATATTGTTGTAACTTGTAACAACGTCCGAGCGGCACCAATCGCGGTGTATCCCGGTCGCCCCGCAAGTGGGTAACCACTACGAAATTATATAACATACACACGACCGTTGTGTTCTTGATAAGCGCTAATTGATTTGATCTGTCTGACCAGATTCTCGTACAGTATAGTGCTGCTATATTCAGGCGAATGAATTGTTTGGTAGTTGATAAATTACTATATCGTCAAATTCGTCATTTTAATTATTCCTTGTCAATATGCCGACAGCATATTATGCATTGTACGCGTAATGCAAATCTTATCCGCGGAGAACCAGAGTAATATATTACATTTGTATATTTTACTGCTAATAAATTAAGTCAGAAACCAAAAACAATAAATTAACACCACTGTATATAATATCAGTAATATCTATTACCCTATCTATTATAAATAATAATCAATCTTGGATTAAGAAAATATGTCATAAATGCAACCACTTAATTAATATGTAACCAAATCTTTCGAAAATTAAGATACCAATGTAAACTGAACAGTAGTAATTCAGTATAATAATCGCTATAAATCAATAGTGTACTATACGTATGGTAGGTTTTTATTAAAAAATTTATTTATTATTTATATATTGCTGAAAACAATAAGAATACTCAATATTTCTCTTTATACATGCATTTCTTGTTTATATATATATAAAGTTTCAGGGTGTATTACACGGGATGGAGTTTAATCAAACGCCTTGAGTTGCGATTACAATAATTCTAAGRTCTAGGTAATTTGGATTTAAACTGTTGACAAACTTACAATATAGCTAGTTAATTGAATTTAGTAATAGGTATTTATTTTTATATATTTATTATTTAAAGGAAATATCAAAAAAATATGCAATTAAAATTTACGAAAAAACACATCATGCCGGAACTTGGAAAAAATCATTGATTTTAAAACGAATATGGTTATAAACTCGATCATATTATAATTGCAAGCATCATGGTAATCATTGATCGTTGAAGAAATTGAATATTAAATATGTGTGCCCTGTCTATTCGTATTATAATAGTTCTCATTAAAAATAAAATTATTTTTAGAGGTAGGTACAATGTAGGTATTACTAATCTTTTTCTATGCAATGTTTATGATGATGCAGTTGTAATGACTTCTAACATATTAAATTGTTGCATTAAAATAAATGTTTYACGCATCGTAATATCTCCTTTATCGTTATATGTGTAAAGTATTAATTGTTCAACATAAAAATATAATTTTTCATGTCAATCATTTACATCAGCTGTAGTTAACCATAACTTCGTTTTGAAAGCTGCAATGACAATTTGTTAATACGTATATATCCGTATGTATATATATATTTCAATATTATTTAGCAAACATACAAGGTCTGACTTGTTGATTTGACATTGAAACTATAATTATTAACTACGAAGTTTGTTAAAGTTGTAATTTGTTCTAATGTTACTTATAAATAGAGACTTTATGTTAATTTTTTTGTCTTTTAACGAATACAAAAAATTATATTATATTTATGTTACCAACCTAGTTAAATCCAATTCATATTATGGATTCTGTACATTTGAGATGCATGTTGTATTTTCAGTACAATATGTAACATTATATATTAGAATTTAGTTATTCGTATTAATATTATATTAAGGGTTGTATCATGTATTTATAGACATTTTTTATTATAATACATTTATATACATCGCGTTTGTATACTTATTATTTTTTCTGTATATTTTTGTAATATTATGACACGAATAATTTGCATACAAAAAACACGACGTTAACCACTATAAAATCAGTAGAAATTTTCGACTGAATTTGATAGAATAATAATTCGACTGTATACGAATACTGCCTGGTATGGCCGAGACTTACAAGTCTAAACCGTAATATAAACACTGATATTTTCTCACTATTGATATTATCAACATATGGAACCCACGAGATTGCGCTATGGGGGAAAAACAATGATAAAATAACATTATCTTCCGCGACGAGCGATGGGTTGGGGCATCATCGTCCTGTGCCAGTAATCGAATGGAAGAGCATAATAATATTATGCTTAATATTATAATATATTCACTTAACAGAAAAACATTAAAGCTATATTATGATACGATATTATGTTTTAGGAATATTAATTATCTAAATATTATTCATACGAGATTGTTYAAAATACTTGTGATTATTTCAACAATAGACGAAGTCATTAACTCGAAGAGTATTAATGTTTTTGAATTTTGTTTGCTGTATTTAATTTCATTACAAAATAACATTTTCCAAAAAAACGTTAATAGTTTTCAAGATAATGA